ATTATTTTATTCTCCTTAATAAACAGTGCATAAAATTCAATGTGCGAAATGTGCGGGTGTAACATCATTAATTTTTTACCTGCCTCAATAATCTGAATTTTATTTTAACAATCAGACACATTTGATCTTTAATGCACAGATAAATGTTTTGTAATAGATAATTACGGAGCCAACAGTAATCACGGGAGCAAATCATCTTTACGGTGTAGCAGCCAAAATTTATTTACGGAATTACGGTTTTTAATATTAATATTAAATTATTCTTCCCGTAATTAATACTATTATTATTATTTTTAAAACCGTAATTCCGCAACAATTATAATTACGGAATTACGAAGCCAACTATCATTTCACCATGTTCTATTTTTTTTTCAGTAAAAAAATTAAAATTTTAGATGAGATAAATTATTATGTGCGTTTTACACTTAACCATCTTTATGGATCGTAAATTGAGGTTCAATGGGGTCCCAGTTATTATATTTATATCCAATGGCACCATCAACGACACGATCTTGACGTTTAATATTAGTAACCAATATTAGCCATTTTCTATTCTCGATGATTTTATTTATTAGATAAAGTCATTTTATTCAAAAACACACTTGAAATAATATAATTTCCTAACATTTTTACATAAAATGGTCTTTGACTGTAATTAATAAGTAAAGCCAGTACAATTGATTCATAATCTTTTCTGATAATTAATGGTTTGGCCAACCTTTATATTGCTTGCAGGAACACCTCAAAGTAGTATAATTGTATATATTTCTATTTATTTTTTATTTTTTTGGAAAAAAAAAATTGAGGCACTTAACCAGAACTAGGGTTTCTATTTTAATAAGATTTATTCAAATTATTCATTATAAATTTGAGCATTATTTGTATAAAATGAATAATTCGAGTAAACAAATAAAACGAATGATTTAATAAACCTTATTCAAATAGAAGGCTCTCTAATCGAATTATCTAAACCATACTACATATTAATATATTTAAAAAACTTCGAGTATAATTAAAAGTGCTCTGTACAGCAACAACAATCGAGATCTGTAAATATTAATTACATCATTGATGAAATACTATATGTTTTATGTTTTATAAATAGTTTTTTAATGCAATAATTATTTTAATTGTCTGACTAGAGTCGCTCTCTAACAAATCGATAAATAAAGCAAAAAGATCAACAAAAGAACTTTGTTTAATAATAAAAATAAAGACAGAAAAATCATGCCATTAAATTGATTCCTCAAGATTAATACTTTTTTGATTTTAATATGAAATTTCCCCCGTGTTTTATAATAAAAAGATCGACATTTTACCGATTCATAGACGGTTCATCAATAATTAATCTTTTTATTACATATTAGAATTTCAGAAGTTTGGAAAATCAACTAACCTTTTTATACATATTTCCAAGCACAATAAAACATAATAAAATAAATAAAATGATTTTTCTAAATTATCAGGCAATAAATTATACAATCAATGATATAACCTGATGATACAAAAATGAATAATAAAATATCGTGACAAGAATTTCTAAATCATCAGATATAATGTATGATATTAATATAAAATTCTATAAATAAAAAATCATACGTTATTAAAAGTAGAAATGATGATCATTTATTTAATGAAATGTCACGTGACTCCGACTTACCGAGAACAATTTACTTATTCTACAAAGAGGGTTGACTGAC